TTTTTTTTTTTGACAAGGCTGTGAGCACCTTAAATATGAATGGTAGAAACAAGACATAAAGATCCTGTCACAACTAAATGGAGTAGACTAACATTCTCCAATTTAAGACTAAAATGTAAACGGCTTCATCAAATTCTCAGGTACGTGGCTCAACACACATTTCTAAAAAAAAACTCAAGTGGCACGAAGGAAAACAACTTAAAATATCCACCAACTATGATTGAGTGTGACCAAGCTAAGCCAACTACACCAATCAAACCGACAACTAGACACCAAGAACCATAGATCTCTAAACATAAAAATATCATTAATCTATCATAGAGTGGTGCATACTTACACTTAAATACCATTTTCACTTGAGGTGCATACTTACTAAATAGAGAAGCAACACATGTATCTATGAAACCAAACTCACAAGACATGAATCTATCATAGAGTGATTCCTGATGAGGAGAGTACTTACTAAATAGAGAACAATAAGAGCCTGCCTGCATCACATGTATCTATGAAACCAAACTTACAAGACACATGAATAACTCCAAAATTAGGTTATAGCTAATCCATATTTCATAAAAAGAGAGAATGTCTAAACTAAGACAAAGCACAAACTATATTATATTTATCTAGATATGGTTCTCTGGTCGCACAGTAGTAATAAGAAGTGGCAAACTAGGGCTCTTCAAATCTTCTAGGTGGTGTCTGCTTGCTAGTGCTCCAAATATCTACTCAACCCTGGGCTGAGGATGCAATAACCAAGAGACCTGAATGCAACTCCTACATCGCTTAGGAAAATCTACCTGGAGTAAGGATGGTAACGGCCACTGCCACTATAGCCTGCCCTACTTCCATATAAACCTCCTGGTCCACCGTAACCAGCACCAGGGCCAGATTCATAACTAGCATCAGGCCCAACTCCACCATAACCTCCATAACCACCTCCACGGCCATATGAACCCAGTCCACTGCCACCGTATCCCCCACCAAACCCACCAGCATAAGAGCCAAAAAGACTAGAATAACCAAGTGACGGGTCCCCACGGTAACCACCAAAATCACTACCGCCAAAGTCTCCATATCTACCACCAAATTCACCACCACCATATCCATATTCACCAAACCTAGCTCCAAACGACCTATAGGAAGCAGGGCCAAAACTGCCACTGCCAAAACCGCTATATGAATTGCCAAATCCTCCATAACTATCACCATATCCACGCCCCCTAGAGTCACTACCATATGCAGGAGCAGATGCTGGGTTTGAGGGTTTCTTTGGTTCTGCCTTCTTGATCTCAACCTACAATAAAGAAGCAAGTTAACCTAGAAGTTCCACCTGCACAATAGTCTGACAGCTGAGCGCTATAAGATGCATACCACATTGGAAAACCTACAAACTTATATTCCTTAAATTAAACTGTCACACATGCAGGAAACTCCTTAAGACAGAGAGGTATAGGTTAAAAGAAGAAAATTTGGGCTGGGAGATGGTACGAAAGCGCAACTTGTAGATCCACTTTGCACGCACGACAGCCATGTCCTAGAACATTTGACATCATAGAAAAATATCCTACAAAACTTACCTGAGTACCCATCATGTCAATCCTATTTCCCTCAGCCAGCAAATTATCAACTACTTGTTCATTGTCAAACACAATAAATCCAAAACCTCTAGAACGCTTGGACACGTGATCTCGTATGATCTCGTACTCTGTTACTTTCCCAAACTTGGAGAAAAAGTTCTTGAATTCATCTGACAACCAATGTACAAGAGACATCAGTTAAAGTACTTCAAAGCTTAAAGAATACTAATGCAACTGCCAGACAATAAAATTAGTGATGTAACAAAAACCACATTGTTACCTTCAGTCATGGTAGTTGGAATGCCACCAACGAAGATCTTCTTTGTTTTAAAATCCTTTGACTCAGCAGATCCTTTCGGAATGGTTCTTTTAATCTCAACCTGGCAAAGACCAATACCACAATTCAGAAGCCAGAATCTTTCAAGTACTTAAAAATAGATGATTTTCAGCTGAAGCTTCAAAAACCAGTAATATTCAAAACTCCAATAAATAAATGAAACCCATAATTCCAGCTCATGACCTCACAAGCATATGACTAACTAAACTGTTTGTGCATATTGGAGGCAGTCAACAAAGTTCACCATAGTTTTCTAACTTTTCAACTCAATTTGACTACAATTGAAAATCAGGCAGGATGGACATACAACAATTACTAAGCCCAAGTCCCAAACAAGTTGGGGTTGGCTATATGAATCGTCAGATGACCATGTTTCTCTATTTAAAGCTCAACTCATGTCATACCGAGTTTTAAATTAAGAAATGAAGAATTACAAAAATATAAAAATTCACTATATTTTTAATGGCATATAAATGTATCATAAGGTCAAAACACTCTTGGAAAAGCAATAGCTTCAAAATTAACGTACTAATAAGACTTAAGACTAATTGCAGTAGCAAAACTGAGGCTAAACTACTCACTTGTTTGTCATTGATAATATGGTATTCGGCTATAACAGTGTCTACAACAGATGGATCTTCATAAGTGATGAACCCAAAACCTCTGGGTCTACCAGTATGCCTATCCTTCATAAT